CCCGAAGGAGCCCCCGGATTTAAAACTACGGAGGAAAAGGAGTTAGGGAGCGGATTAAAACCCACAAACCCAAAAGCCTATAGCAGCACACCACCAAGCGCCCTCCCCCTCCTCCCTCCCACCGCCCCATCCCGACCCCAATTCGGCATTCCGGCGCCCGAATCCCCCCAGATTCGCCGCCCCCACGCCGCGGATTCGCGCCGGACCCCACCCTTCCGCGGCCGGATCGGCGGGGCCGGTGGCCGCGCCGGCAACCGCTGCTTCCACCGCTTGCTCTCGGCGGCGGAGGCCGGCGATCTCGGCCTTGCACGGTTTCGGCCGCGCGATTCGGTGCTGATCCAGGGCATGCTCTCCTCCTCCCTGGCTTCTGGTGAGCTGCCCCGCTGCTTCGCCTCCGGATTTCAAGGGATTATGCTTTTTTCCGCTTGATGTCTAAGATGTTTCACCAGTTTCCCGAATTGCCATCTAGGTTTACTCGAAAGAGCAGGTCTTAACCATTTCATGCGCTTGATACCCCATTGCCCCGAGTTTCCCAACCCTAATTATCTTGCTAGGTTTACGCTGGCTGGGAGTTCGGGTAGCTATAGGTGGCCACCAGTTCAACATTTAGTGGGAGTGTGGTTCTGATGATTTTTCTGTTCTTATCACGCAGGGCACTGGGATGAGGCTTAACGGTTTGGAGCGAAACCCGATGCCAGGAATAGAAGACGCCCTGATGAAGGACTCGCCCAAGGCTTCCTCCTTGGTGGAGGTGGAAAAACCTTCCCTTGGTGATGTTGACGTTCTGGGCGGCGGAGGGTCCATGCTTACGGGGAAGAAGAGGAAGGATGTTCCTGCGGGCGAGAATGGCGGCGTGGCAAAGAGGGTGCTCAGGTCAGCCACCATGAAGCTGCATGTGGATGCTGAGCCCGAGGGTGAAGCTGCCGCCGCCGCGGATGTTAGCGAGTGTGACGCTTTGGAGAAGACTGACTGTGAGGCTACTGCGGGTGACAGTTTGGAGAAGACTAACTGCGAGGCTACTGCGGGTGACAGTCTGGAGAAGACTAACTGCGAGGCTACTGCAGGTGACAGTCTGGAGAAGACTAACTGTGAGGCTGTTGCAGAGGATGGCAGAAGCGGGGCGCAGACAGTCGACGCTTCTAAAGGCGATGAGCACATGGATGAGGTTCCAGTGAAAGTGGATGATGCTATACAAGTGCCAGCTAAGTGTTCTGAGAATAATGTGGATAGTGCCGGTATTGCTCAAGAGAATGGCTTAGACAACCAAAAAAGCAATTTTGAATCTGATGATAAAGTGAAGGCAGACGAGAAGACTTACTCTGCAACTCAGGAGGAGGAGAATGTGTCTGGGACAAGTGGGGGTGGTACTGATGACTCCCAGGAAAACAAGGGTGCCAATGGACCTTGCCAGGGGGAGGTCATAGACCCATCAGCTGCAGCAAAAGACGATGAATTGGTCATTGATGTAAGCAGAAACAACCCTACTAGCGCATCAGAACCTGTTCAGCAGGATGGTAATGTTGTGCGTACTGAGGGAATGGTACTCCAGAGTGGTGATCAGGGAGTTGAGAAGCATTGTCACGATGATGATGTACGTAAAGACACTGAAGCTTCTCTAAATGGTAATGGAAGATGTGTGGCTGATAACAACATCGCATTAACTGATTGCACTAACCATAAAGAGGGCTTAGGTAGCCCTGTAGGCGGAACCAAGGGGATTTCGACTCCTGACATTGTATTTATAAGGAGAAAGTCGTTAACCAGAAACACATGTGAAATGAAGTTGAAACATGAAGAGGAGGAGGTTCAGTTTGAGAGGAGAGTTACAAGGTCATCTACAGTTAAACAAAGAGAGGCTTCTGGAAGCTCATGCAAAAGTAGTGCAAACGCGGCTAGCATGGAAAGCAAGGGGAGAAAGGAAGATGTTGTTCATCATTATACAAGGAAAGTGAGCAATACTGCATCCTTAAAAGCTGACCACACTGAACCTGCTAAACGTGGAACCAACACAAAGAAGAACACACCAAATGGAAAGATTAGTGCTCAAAGAAAATCAGGTGTTACTGGCAAGGATTATCCTGCAAATATCACAGAGAACAAGGCATCAGCAACAGAGATAAAGATCAATTCGAAGCCACAGCCGTCCATGAGAAGTGGCAGCATTGCCAAGGCAACAACAAAAGATGCAGTTCCTCTGGTGGATCAGAATGTCTGTAGTTCAGCTATCACTGAAAAGAATGATACAGAGCTAACAGATTCGGAAGGAGTTAGATCTGAAAACAAGACTGCCATGCCGAAGTCACCATTATCAGTTGGTGCTAAGATTGTTGCCAGCAAGAAGAGGATGTTGGAATCAGGTCTTGATAAAATTGCTGGAGGGTCACCAGTTGAGACACCATCCATGAAAAAGACAAGAAGTACTTCTCACACCGAGTTAGATCAATCAAAGAAGTCTTCTGGGAAGATGCTTACAGAGAAGAACTCCGGTCCAGACAAAAAATATATTTTGACAAAACAGCAGCATCACAGTCGAGCAGCTGAGTTGAGCAGATCTGTTAACCCCTCTAATAAAGATGCCTGCAAGCTTTCACATAATGGATCTGATGTTGATGGAACTGATATCATCATTACCCACAAGAGAAATTGTAGAGGGCGCAGAGAACGTGATGCTCCTGCCGTCATGGTAAATCAAGAGTATTCTAGTGAATCTGAGGAAGTTATTGTTGTGAGAAAAGACAGGCGAAAAAGGAAAGATCCATTGCATAAACAAAGGTCCGGATCTAGACCAAACCGTTCTTCTGGTTCTCCCAAAGCAAGTTGTTCCAAAGGCAATAGCGAGGCACAATATGGCTCCAGAGCAAAATCTGGAAACCCAGGTGAATCAACAGGTCGTTTTGAACAAAAGCGTCAAATAAGCGAACAGGTAAAGACCATACTTCTGGATGCTGGTTGGAAGATTGATCTGAGACCCAGGAATGGCAGAAATTATTGGGATTCTGTCTATATACCTCCAAGTGGTAAAGGATCTTACTGGTCAATCACAAAAGCATACGCAGTGTATGAAAGTATGCAATCTGAGCAAAAGAACGAAGCTACAAGCGAGAATTTATCAAAGAAATCTCCGGGCAGCCCTGGCAAAACACATGCTTCTGTGAGTAGTTCTTTACCACAGGAGATCCTCAGCAAACTAAAAAGAGTAGTTGTTAACAAGCGAAAGACCAAAGTTGAGCTTCAGAAGTTAAAAAAGAGGAAGCATGGTTTGCTAAAGAACTCTAAAAATTCAAAGGGCAGGCCAAAGGAAAAGAAGAAGAAGATTTCAAAGGAAAGAAAAAAGCGAGGCGGTTGTGCTCTACTCGCTCGTGGATCAAATCAGGAGGCTGGAAGCAGCAATGGTTTTGCTCCATATGAATGGAAACGCACAGTTTTCTCCTGGTTGATTGATCTGGATGTTCTATCCGTCAACACTAGACTGAAATGCATGGATGAAAGCCGCTCAAAAGTTCTGCTAGAGGGTTTACTCACCAGGGATGGAATTAACTGTAGCTGCTGTAGCAAGGTTGTCACAGTACTCGAATTTGTGGCTCATGCTGGTGGTCAACCGAGCAAACCATACAGGAATATACTTGTGGATGGGCTGGACAATGACCTTTTGCATTGTCTCATTAGTGCATGGGACAAGCAGTCTGATTCTGAAAGACAGGCCTTTTTCCCTGTTAGCACTGAGGGTGATGATCCCAATGACGACACATGTGGTATTTGTGGTGATGGAGGCAATTTGATCTGCTGTGACGGATGCCCCTCAACATTCCACATGAGTTGCCTAGAACTCGAGGTATGTATTTATATACAGAGAGTAAATGGTGTTTATACTTAAAAAAAGCGCTTTTCATACAGTTACTGTGTTAGGTTGTTGGCTTAATGCCGTTTTCACTCTGAGCAATAACCGTCTGACATTTCTTTCAGTTGTACCGCAGATTTGTCAGCATTTTGATTTATGTGTCTGATTAATTTAGCAGTTCCTGGATTAGGGAGATATTGAAACGACTAGCATATGACCTCGATTTCCCCCCTAGTATATGGTCTATGGCTAAGTGTATCTGGCGCAGCATTCTCTAATGAGCATGAATATCCAATTTACAGGAACTTCCATCTGATGATTGGCGTTGTGCAAACTGTTCCTGTAAATTTTGTCAGGAGCATTTGAATCATGATGCTCCAGACAATGCTGAAGTTGATTCATTACATTCTTGTTCCCAATGCGAGGAGAAATGTATGTGATCTCTGTGTATCCTAGTTCTTTGGTACTTTGGAATCTTTGATAACTTATTTTGTCAGATTCCGGTTGTTGTTACTATAATGTTGTGTTAGTCAATCATGTTTTTGACTGTTCCACAATGATGATGCCTGCAGATCACCCAGCTTGCTCTCCTGAGACTGAGGACCTATCCAGTGTCTCCAATCAGGCAGGAAATCATTTTTGCCAACAAAGTTGCAGACTGGTAATACTTTGTCAACTTTAGTTCTTCCCTTTCCATGACTTTCTTTCTGGACATATTACGATGTAGTTTTCCATGACTACAATTCTAGCATTGACATTATATATTTTGAGCTAAGTTGAGTGTCACTAGCTTGTGACAACTTGATGCTTGAAAATGTCACTCGTTAAATATCTGCACTTAACCTACTCAACAGAGTTCTATTGCTTTTATTTTTGAATTATGGCATTTAGTTTTTTTGTCCAAGTAGCTATACTCGATAAGCGACCAATATAGTATGCAAAGCTACCAAAATCATTTACTTCGGAATTTGGATTTCCTTAGTCTTCTGAGACTGAATATTTCCAGTATGGTGACAATTTTCTATCTGAAAAACATGCAGAACTTTGCATGCCATCATCCTTGAAATAGTTATTACTTAAGTGATGTTTAAGGATTTGTGTAGTACAGTTGAAATTTGAATATGGATATATGTAGAAGTATTTTGAAATGCTGCATAGAAATATTATTATCGTTTTTCCGTCGATATTGCGATATTATTGTACAAACTAATCCACCTTGGATACTCTGGAAAACAAACAAAAATAGTATTGATATTCTATAATGAAGATGTATGTGATCAGTTTAATCGTTACTATTTCTGTTTCACTTTGACTGAAAACAGTTTGGAAAGTTTCCTAATGCTTAATATTTCTGTTTCCTGTATCCCTTTGAAGACCAAACCTGTTCACATGTTATTCTTTATTCTCACTTTCTTTTCCATCAGTCGGCATTTTCCCTCCCTGAATCCTCATCGCACCACGGAATCTAAATAACTTTCTATGCAATGCAGCTGTTTGAGGAATTGCAGAATCTTCTTGCGGTCAAGAAGGATCTTGAACCTGAATTTGCATGCAGAATTATTCAGTGTAGCCATGAAAATGCACCAGAAACAGTTCTTGATTTGGATGGAAGGGTCGAGTGTAATTCCAAGATTGCAGTTGCTCTTTCACTGATGGATGAGTGCTTTCTTCCTATTGTTGACCAAAGAACTGGGATCAACTTGATACGTAATGTTGTGTACAACTGTGGGTAGGCATCTCTCTTAACACAAGCTCATGGTACTCTAAGCAAGCTCAAGGATATTTTGTAGAACTCCTCTGTTGTTGATATGCTTTCGATTTGTAAATCTTTGCATACACTCTCTTTCTCTCCTTCCTATGCACGTGTGTTTTTGTGGGTGGGGTTGAGTTTACCTTCAATGTTGCTGTAGTTACCTCTTGCTACTCATTTAAGCTGGGTCGTTTTTAGTATCCTTCTACCCCTCTCCATGCTTGGCTGTATAGCTATTGACAGATGCAGGTCTGTTGGGGTGAGCTCACCTCGCAATATTTTTGTTTCCTCGCCATAATTGTTTTTCCTCAGAAAACGCAAAAGCCTTGTGTCTCCATGTACAAGCCTGAAATGGCCCACGCCCCAGAAATACAACGGTGCATGCCAAGTTCTAGGCACCAGCAGTAGAAGCATCGCGAGACCGTGCCCCCTGCCCTTGCCCACAACCGGGCCTTGCCCTTGATTATTTCAAGCAAGCTGGCGATGCCCCTAGCCATAAAATGATTGTGGAGTTTTAACATTTTGCTTATTCTTGTGATGATAAGATTTTGCTGTCTGTCGGTTTAGTTCTTTGATGTTTTTGAGCTTACATCATGTGTTTCGCTACAATGGCATATAGAGGTATGTGAATAATGTCAAATATGTGCAATATGTGCGTTAAAACGGCAAAAGAAAAGACCCAAGTATTAAAGCATCACCTATGCATGCACCAAATAGCAAACTAACAAAATTGACCAACGACGCCATTCGACAATTAATTGCTTATTCCTAGTTTGATAAAGTGGCTGATTGGTGGGACCTATTCCTAGTGCTTACGTGTGTGCATATGTGGCTTGGGTAGTTTGAATCTATACACGGGTATGATCCCTCTGGCTTACTGTATGTTCAGTTACTGGCATACAGAATTGGTTTGGGTGTTTGTTTATGCTGCTGGGCACATTGGTCAAGTTACTTATCTAACAGTTGCGTCATGACAACAAGTTGAACTGGTAACATTTATCAGTGAGAGATGTTTGATTGCTCTCTCATTTCTTGTCTGTGTGCAGGTCAAATTTTCTCCGGCTGGATTTCCGTGGATTTTATATCTTTATTTTGGAGCGTGGAGATGAAATAGTATCTGCAGCATCAGTCAGGTGGGTTACTTCCTTCTTTTGTGTGTATGCCATGTTTTGTGACTGTTCTGCCATGTGTATGAACTGAATACACTATTCATTGGTATCAGAGATTCATGTCCTCGCTTAATATACTGAGTGTCTTGTTTCAACCACTAGTTTGCTGACCTATATGGCAATTAGTCATGTATGCTCCAACTATGGAGTGGAAGCTGCATTCCCACTCTAATTTTCCAATGTAGGTGGTCAGGCGATTAGTCAAGTTGCTTGAATATAGGCTACTGATAATTGAATAATTCAAACTTGACAAAAACAAGTTATGTTCAATTGTCTAGTACTACTGCTAGCCTGCTAGGTGACGCTTACTAGATCATTACTGTGAGCACCGAGCAGTTTTTACGGAAGTACTCATTTATCCTGATGGTGTTGGTGGTATTCTGTATTAAAGAAAGTAGCTTTATGTCACTGGAGCGTTACACTTTAGTAAGATACGTTAGTTATAAACTTATTATTGCTTGCATACTTCATAAAGCTCTTTGCATGCAATTTTGTAGCTTGCTTGTCTAGATATGTCCTACACTATATACTTTGTTTATACAACTTTTTAGCCTCGCTATCTGAACTCTAGCATTAAGCAGTAATATACATCAGACTAACTTTGTAACACTTGCTATTATCTGGTTGCTCTTGAGTTTCTTTTTTCTTCCGCTGAATTGCTGGATTCTAATACAAGTTTACTGTTATTATGTCTTATGCTGAAACAGGATACATGGGACCAAGTTGGCAGAGATGCCATTCATTGGTACACGACATATGTATCGTCGCCAAGGGATGTGCCGTCGACTTTTAGATGGAATTGAAATGGTATCTTTACCTGAGCCTCAGATCCATTTTGGCATTCTTCATGGTGCTTATATAGGACAAAAGTTTGGGGATGTTCTATTTAGTCCTCCTGTAGTTATGTATGTTTCATTATAGTTTGTAAATTTGGAGAACTGAACTTCTCAAACCCTAACTTTATGAACTTATGCAAGATTTTGTTATCAACCTGAAATCTGTTCAAAAGTAGTAGCAGAGAGATTACAAAGGTAGCAAACTAATATTGCCCTCTTGTAAAATGGTATTGAGTTACAATTGGCATGCTACAACTGCTTGACAATGTTTTCTTCATTTGGTACTGAAACCTGTAATGGATATAGCGCATATGCATACAATGGTAGGGTAATTCCATCATGGTACAGCTATATTAGTGTATAACTGGCAACACTTTGCACCTTTCCCTACAGTAGGTTATGGATGAATTGGCTTGATGTTTTTTTGTTTTATTATCATAGTAGGGTAATTCCATGTGTGTTCTTAATGCCTTCTCTTATTTACATTTCAGATCCTCAGTTCTCTCAAAGTTGAGAAGTTGATCATTCCTGCTATTAATGAACTGGTGGACACCTGGACATCCAAATTCGGATTTAGCCCACTTGAAGTTTCAGACAAGCAAGAAGTCAAGTCTATCAACATGTTAGTTTTTCCTGGTACAGGTCTTCTTCAAAAGCCATTGCTAAATAAGCAGGCTTCACCTCAGGAACACCCAGGTTCTGAAGGAGGTCAGTACCATGAATAACATGTCTCTTATGTATATTTCATTTTTTCTCCCTGTTTCTTTATCCAATGGCGACTGGCCATTTGTACAATTGATACTTGATTTCTCTGGAGATAGTTCAGAAAAGTATCCGATGTGGACTCTGTTTGCTCCGTTGCAGATGTAGATGCGGATGCGGAGACCCAAGGTTCGGAGGTCATGGATCAGTTGAACAGCAGCAAAGAAGATGCTGAAACTTGCAAAGGTAAATGCTTTGTAATAACCATTTTCATGTTCTTTTTGGATCTTGATTTGAAACAGAATTTCAGAGGACAGACTTTGAACTCGAAGTTTAATTTTGCTTTTTAAAGATGGCCAACTCCAGTGCATAATGTTTCTTATAAACAGCTAATACTTCTTTGACCCATAGATAATTGCAGGAAAACCCTCCATTTACTATAACATACGTATTAATCTGAAATAACACCCTTGGATAAGCATAGTTTTGTTTAGCATGTCAGTGAAGGTGGTGTGAATACTAGTTCTTCTTCTTCTTTATATAGATATAAATATAGTAACCCCAGTGCATACTGTTTCCTATTTTGAAGGATTAGGACATACTGTTACTCAAACAATTAGTACCTTAATATACCTATCATGCTGATGGGGTTCTCTATGATAAGATCTCTGGGCCATGGCTGTACTTTAATTGTTTAGCAATAGATTTTTATGTGGGTCTCAAGATTTTTATTTTAAATCTTAATTGCAGATTGACGAGCCTCGTCTCCAGTTCATTTTGGCCCGACAAGACAACGCAACCTGCTTCGCAAGAGTGACAGACATAGATGATGAAACCATTTAGTTATCTTGTTTTAACTCAGCCTGCCGTGCATCTGCTTCTTCCAGAAAGCAAACCTGAAAGGATGCGTTTTTGAAGACGAGCGCTGTTTTGGCCAGGGCTTGGTGACCAGCCTGTGCAGTGTGCAGTATTAAAAGTTGTTGACCCCGACCATACCTAACTGTATGTGGACTCCTCAGCAGGTAGAAGGGGGATTATAGTTTT